AATAAAGAAATGTTTAGCCTCTTTCTTTGTTACTCAAAAAATCAGAACTATAGTCTAATCTAGTATCTGACGGATATCTTTGTTAGTACATTTTACTCCAAGAAAAAAAAAAAACAACAAATATATGTTTGAGTCATTTATACAACCTCTTGTTGCTATAGCGACAAATTAATATCGAAAAGAAAAAAAAACGTTAAAGTGCACACACAAACAAATACTATCCAGAAAATAACACGTCATGCGACCACATGTTAACCGGTGGGTTCTAAAACGATCGAGAAGGCTTGCGTCGCGATTGGTCTAGAGAAATCTATAACCACTGATTGTTAAACATTTTAAGCATAACAAAATGTGACCCCGATTTCAATGAAAGTGATTCACTAATGTAAAAGTATGACATTGTGAAAAAATATGTACGTGACGGAGAAAAATGGATATCATTTTCGGATTCTGCGTACAGTAATTACTATAGAACATCGCAGGCTTGAGTTATCTGTATACTTCGCTACTACCTGTAGTAGTCTCTAAAATTACCTAGTTTTTCGTGACGTTTCGTCATAGAAAAATATTTCCTTAGCTTTCAAACGAATATAATTTAGCAATAAAACATTTTTCAAGAGAAAAAAAATCATTTAAGAACTTCGAAAGAAACAAGTGGTTTGGGTTTATCACAAGTCTTCTAAATGTTCAATTACATATTGTTGTTCTTTGCACGTGATACATCTAAAGTCACTTCTCACTATACTCTACACCTAACCCTTAGTTGACACAAGTAGTTTATAATCCTCTATCGAGTGGTTTAAATTATGTTTGTAATTATTTTCAAAGCAGAGATTGTTGTTTTTTTTTTAGATCTGTTGAATGTAGGCTGTTCTAACAAATCATGTTAAAAAGAAGGAAAATTCAGTTTAACAAAAAAAAACTCGTCGTTCGATAGTTTCTCAGTGATTAAACATTCCTTGATGTGATTAAAAAATGTCTACAAAATCTTTCAACTGCATCATCACGTGATCAGATATAAATCAATAGCAGACGAAAGTACGATTTTAAGCACTTTTATTCCACCAACACCAAGAATCAAGGAAAGTGGGAAGAAATTTACGTTTTTATAAACTTCACCATTTATACGATCTTTCGTTTAAAGCGACACCTACAACCGTTTACAAAATTACTTAATCGGGAATTGTTACATAAGCCATATTTAAGCGAAATAATGAAACTCAATCGTAAAACTAATTTATCAAAATTAAAAGCAATTTTTGATGATTTTTTTTTTAACTTAAAAAACAAACAAATCAACTACAAATAATACACTCATTTAAAAGAACGATACTTACTTATATTATCGAAAACAGAAAGTACAATTTTAATAAATAACTAAAAGTTTCAGCAAAGATGCAACTCTGGACGTTTATCTTGTTTTGTCAGAATTTTTAGTACTTCAACCTATTAGTTAAACCAGCAAAGTTAACAAAATGACAAATGTTAAGTGTTAGTGTTCCAACTCGAAACACCGAAGAGTTAAACTGAAACTTAAACACGAACAAGTTAAAGATAATACAGCCACAATTTGGAAGCTTGCTTCGTCCAAGTAAAAAGTCTAAGAAACGAATAATATACGTGTACATATAAGACAATAAGGCAGCTGGTTAAAACAACTAATTCGCAAGTGATTTTTGAGACAGAAAATTATAAAATGTGAGAGTCTAGAGTTTGGCTACATATTGTTAAATTTAGTTATTATAACTTTGAAATTAATTTTAACGTTGAAAAAACAAACAAAGAAACAAAAAGTAGGTCAATTCGAAACAATTAAAGTTAGTTTAACGAAACTAATATCCGAAACGAGTCAAGGTGTTAACGCAAACAAGTAACGCAGCCAATGTTCTCATTCGTACGTTACGGTTCAAAAACGTAACAACCAATAAAAACCCGTGTATATAAAAACTTATGTATGTAAATAAAGAACTGATTATGATTGGTCATCTGACTGGAACCTGTAACAACTCGCAGAATGGGATTTACGATTGATTGTAGATGCGACAATCACGGTATCGGTTGCGCACTGTATGAAACTTCGCGATCTTCACTACCTGAAATTATAAACTCTTATTAAGACAAGTTTGAAACTATTTGTACATGAACACACAAGTGTAAGAAATACCCTAATATGTTCATTATTACAAATTCATTCTTGAAATTAAAAGGTAAATAAACGAGTCCCTTAGATGCTGGGCGATAGAAGTAACAAGACTCGTGGTTATCAATGCTCTGGAGCTTTCCAGATTCGTTGAATTAACCACGAAAACCAACCAATGAAATATGGATTTAAGTAGGCGAGATATCTACCTAGCACGTGTCTGAAATAAACTAACGGTTTACCTTTAATTCGTTGACAAACAGATGAAAGTTTATGATGTAAAACTATGGTCTAGAGCATAATATTAACCAGTATTATAAATATCCGACCTACTTTAGGTAGCAAGTTGTACGAGAATACTGACCGAGCTCGACAGAATGTTAGCAACTACCTGCAAGTCAAATTAATGAAAACTAATAGTGCTACAATAACAAAAGCGCCCTCGATTGGCGAAATCTGCATTAACGAATTAATTTTCACGAAAAAACAAACAAAAAAACACAGTTCGTTACATTACTAAGTTTGGTAATAAAACGTTGAAATGAATCTAACGAAATATTAACCCGACGACTACCGGCTTCTAACTTTCTTAGTAGGCAATGCAAGTCTCGCTATATTTCATTCCAACAATAAAACTAGTGGACGAATATTTTCGAAAATTCATAAATACTTTGACATATGTAGGTAGGTTAAGAAACATAAAGCCTGTTACTTTTAATAAGTTTAGTTTTTTTGCATTATGATCTTTAATATCTTGGAAAATTACATTAGGAAATCGTATTTATAAGAAATGATTACAATATTTATATTTGCTACAGATTTGAACTTGTTACTTTTAATGTTTTAGTACATTATTTTGAAATCCCCCAAAAATTGTATCATTCATAAAATACAAATTTTATCTATTTTTAATCTTTTTAATAATCACGTATACTTCTTATGGTTTCAAGTAATATAGAGACCCGTAAATAATATTTGTAAATAAACCTAAACAATAAATGAGTATTTTTATTTTTAACTAGGATTTCATGTTTATATATGTACATAAAAAAAATTTAATTTTGTTTCATAAATATATTTTTATTTCAAATTTGTTTGTTTCATTGCAGTCTACTTTGGTGTTTATTGTGCCGAATAAACCGTGGGGTCAGCAGCGTGAACTTTATACGTTGTCCGTAAACTATCTTACCCTTTTTGGTGGTCACTCTCGTTCAACCAAGCGCGAGCGCATTTGAACGTTATTGTAGATATGATAGTAAGAAAGCTTTTCGGTATTGAATATCATTTCTTTGAACTCTCAAACAAGTTTATTTCAACATATGTCCGTGTATGTTGTTTCAGAATAGAGACAAAACCAATTGCCACTACTAACAAATGTATGTAACAGTTTATAGTACAGGTGGTTTCAATAAACACCACCTGAGCCTGACCCCTTGTTACTGGATACATCCTGTTAGAAGAGATTACCAAACGATACAGACACCATAAATTACAAAGAAAATTACTTTACAGCACTTAAAAGATTAGTCCTGGTCACATTCCTCTCATTACAGGCAAGATTTATGTTGGAATGCGAAACTTAGGCACTTCAATGTATTGAGACCCCCAACTGTGAGAATGTCATAGCTTCCCTGTATTATTGAGATGAATGTATTTAGCCTGTTCCACAACCAACATATGGGTTTTTATTGTTGTCACTACTGAGTTTGAACCATTTGTAAAATATCAGAATAAACTATGTATATAACAACAGAAGTGTGGGTCTTACTACAAAGCAAAGATTGTAAGAAGGAAAAATATAAAATTCTTTTGTGGTACTAATAGTATTACGTACAAATCACACACGTTTTTCATTCTAAATACTGAATCATATTATTATGAACTAGATATAAAATTATGCTAAATTATTGAGCTTAAAACTACAAATTTAAATTCAAAAGAATATAAAAAATCACAAACTCTTTCAGTTCAAAGTCCTATGTCTAATTCATGTAAAGACTTTGCACTCGGCAACTCTTAACCCTAACAATCGTGGATCAACTTCTTTCCTAAAAAATATATCTATTTTGAGTTAATTTTTCAATATAATAATTAATATAAACAGATATA